GGTTCTTCAGAAATACCGCATATCTGCCTCCTTCCGAGCATACTCTTGGTATAGGTTTCCCACCCTGACTGGTTATGTAGCTTTAATACAAAACCAGATTTTTGCTGAGTTTTCACCAAAAAAAAATCATACTTGACTGAGCTGTTTCGGGTGCCATACTCTAGGTAGGTGGCGGTGTTATCTGTCTCTCTATGAGGCTTGCTGATCAGTTACCACGAACCTCCTCTGATGAGTACGGGAGAGTGGACAGCTTCCCACAGTGTGAGCTGTTTTTCAGGAAGCTTCAGGTGCAGAGTCTGCAGTGGCTAACGGCGAGAGCCAGAGTGGGTCCTGTCAGAGAAGCAGCCTCTGTACCCAGGCCCTTAGTTATAGTCACCCTCGTGTAGTCAGTCCTGAGGCAGCATTTCATGTATTAGGCTCCCGAGAACACTTGTCCCTCAGAAAAGGGTCTGTGGTCAGCTCAGGTTGGGCAGGACGTGTGTGGTGTGCCCCTGTTGGAAGCTGCCGTTGCACCTGAGCACACTGGAGGCTGAGACCTCCGGCACTGAGGAAACCAGTTTAACTCAGTGTTAACTGACTTTACTTGACTGTGGAGTTTAAAGTCACAAAACCATCTCATGAAACACCGACATTCCATGAACGTGCATGATCTGGGAAATTCTGGCTTATAGAGAGCAGGGAAAGGCCAGAGTGATTGGAAAACAGATTTGGGTTCAGAGGTCCAGTATGAAAGGGACATGTTTTTTCAAAAAAGAAAATGAGAGTTTGGGTGACAGGCCTTTAGTCCGGCCTGCCGAGTAATGGAAAAGATATCCCTGCTTCCACATTAGGGCTCTGAACCCTTACTGCACCTTGATGTGCATTTGTGATCTTGCCAAAGAAGAGGTGTCTGGCCTTTCTCCCAATGGGGCTGTGTCTTCTGATGCAAACTGGAATGTTTTCCCGGAGCAAATTCGGTTCTGATCCATTCTGCCATGGCCTCATGCCAGTTCCTCCCTGCCTCGGGTGCTCCAAATTCCAGTGACTCGGTTTTCCAGTGACAGGCTGCTCTGTGGCAGTGCAGCATGTGGGAAAGCAGAGGAAAGAACAGCCACCTCGTTTCCTCCAGGAGCCCAGGCCATCATTTCCCACACAAAATCACTGCTAACCTCATACAAGACCACTTCCTGCAGCTGATCCTGTCTAGCCTTTGCTCTGCCTCCACCCCGGGTCTGGAGTGCCCTGGCCTTTACACTTCCCCAGTCTGAGGGCTCTGTTAAAATGAACATTTTCAGGTTTAGTGCCTTCTGATTCAACACCCTGGGTCTAGCTGGAAGCTAAAAATACCATCCTTTCCAGCTGATCTGCCCTAATCACAGTAGCACCAACACTTTAAATAGCTTTTCTGTGCCAGAGTAGACATTTGACAGATGGCGCTAACACTCAGAGGGCTGCAGGAAGGCACAGGTCTAAAGGACTGACCAGCCTAGCGTTGAGCTTTTACTTTTGCTCTCCCATTTCTTCTAGGGGTGAAGGAAGAAAAGGGACCCTCTTCCTAAGCCTTGATAATTAGACCTTAATAGAAAGGAGTGTATGATAGGCACTAGTTGTGTAAATCCTAGAGAATATTAGATCAGAAAGGACCTAGCACTGGTCATCTCTACTGGTGTTAAGCAGTCTGTACGAACCTGTTTTGCAGCTTATATTGTAGCTGCATTTGGGGTTAGTACATGTCTGGGACCGCTGTACACAGGAAATAGTTGCATCTCCAGCCATATCCAGCAAGGAATCTTTCTGGCAAGCAGTCTGCAAACCTGGTTTTTTAATTGTTTATTATACAGTGAAAAGCTCAGGCACGTAGTATCTGTATTCACTAGTCGGGCACTCTAGTGAGGGACAGATACTTCTTCTGACACAGGGACTAGGTGAGGGTGCTCTTTCTTTCTTTGTGTTGTCGTGGTTCTCCCCATCCTTTGGAATAGTTCATAAATGCAGATGTTTTGCCAGCCAGCACTTAAGTATAGTTTGGTTGTTCAGATGGTAAAAAGTGTTGTTTTCAGCGTCACAGTGGTTGCAGACTAGCTAATGAAGACCACAGCTGGGTCCCACGTGCAGATTCCCCTTCCCACTCTCTGAGGACCTTCTTCACTTTTACTGCTGCTGGAAGAGCTGTGACCTTAGCCAAAGTAGCAGGATGAAGGAGGGAGGACCATCCTCACACCTTCTAAGATTTTTAGACCCTGACCCCAGACCCAAAGCCAAATGTGAGGTAGGAGACAAATGAACCAAAAGAAATCACATCCTGAAGCAAGTGTAACCCATATTTGATCATCTGTTAAAACTCTATCCTTTAGGGCAGATCTCAGTATCTTTACACTCCCATTCTCAAAGTCTCACAACTGTTAAGATTCCATCGTGTTTCCCAGACATTCAGATATTTAAAAATCTGTGCTGTCTTGTCGAGAAGCCTATCCCAGGCTGGCTGGGAAGCTCCCATTGCCCTTCTTACTAGGTGCATTTAGCAGCATCGATTATCCTGCCATCTACATACCCTCTAGCGCAAACCTACTATCCAAGGTTTATAAAAACTGACTCACACATACTTCTGTTATAGAACCCTCCTTCCATTCAGCCTTCTGATGGAAATCATGATTCAGTAGGAGCAGAGCCAGGTTCCTAACGAATGCTTCCAAATGCGTTAAAGTTACATCCATTCACTTTGCTTATTCTACCTGGCTGTTTGCCATGTTTTCTAATTCTGGAAGAGGTGAGTGTGTGTGTGTGTGCGCGTGCGCATGCATGCGTGTGCGTGCGTGTGTGCATCCATTTCTGAGCCTGTCGTCTCTTACTTGGATGTAAAATCATGAGACATCTGTAGACATCTAGGCCTTGCTGTACATATTGTCTAGAACATGTTTGTGCCTATGCTACAAGGTGGATCGTCAACAAAAGCTCCTACTGTGTGTATTGTCTTGGAAATGGGCAAAAGCCTTGAAAGTTGGGAATGGCTTTTACAACTTAAAGCAATCCCCCTGTGTTAAAGACAGTCCTGTCAGAGGCGTTAGCCAAACTCCAGCTGGTGATGTTGCCTAGCAACGCAGTCGCAGCTGCAAGAGCCCTTCATTGTGGGAACCCAGGTGACAGCCAGAACTGCCTGACTCCCCCCACCAGAAGGTGATGAAAAAGCGTATTGAGGCCCCTTCCTCCGACAGTCTTGTGTGTAACTACCCCAAGATACACTTTCTGGCTCCTCAAGGGGAGCTAATTATTAAGTTACAACTACTTTGCTTGGTGTTAGTGAAAACCTTAGAAATAAAAGGGGAGAAATTCAGTCATAATGAAATGTGGTACAGTTGTTTAATGAGTGGCCTCTTCCCCTCAGCTCTCACTAGTTTGAATGTGAGAGAAAGAAGTCAAGGCAGGATCTACCTTCAAAAATTCAACCACATCTAAATAGATTGGTTTTTAGGTTCACAGATGTAGAAAACAAAATTAAAGTTCCTGAAGGGGAAAGGGAGGGGGTGCAAATTAGAAGTATACGATTAATAGATACACATTTCTATTATATGTAAAATAGGTTAACAAAAAGGATTTACTTTATAGCACAGGGAACTATATTCAATATCTCATAATAACCTATAGTGGGAAAGAACCTGAAAAATATAGATATATATAGAGAGAGATATAGATAGATAGATAGATAGATAGATAGATAGATAGATAGATATCTCCCTGAATCACTTTGCTGTACTGAAACTAACACAATATTATAGACCAAGTATACTTCAATAAAATAATACATACATACATTCGTACATATATAGATGTTTTTTAATGTGTGTGGCATTATGTACTTATCAGCATCTCCAACACCTGAATCAAAGGCCTAGTCACAAGTGTCGACGGCAGGTGCCCATTGTGTCTCAGATACTGTGGGAAGACCTGGAGGAGATGCTTCAGACCCCAGATACCCAAAACTCTAGGGTCCCCGTGCTCAGAGTCTGCTGTCTAGGAGAGCAGAAAGACCATCCTTCATGGCAGCCATTTCCTAGACAGCACCATAGAATGTGGTGAGAATTTAGTTCCTGAGTAATTTATATGGAGAGAGTTTAGTTCCTGAGTAATTTGAATTCTCATCAGAAATGAACATAATAAACTATCAACAAAAAGACAGCATTTATCATCTCTATTCGTAAAGTTTCTCTTTGTCTAATGCTGCAACATTTCATATCAGTAGTAAGAGGGCAAGGAGAGATAAATGACCTTTAATTCTACAATATTATGTCTCTTTGATGCTGTAGTCACAGCAAGACCCCAGACACCAACCTGTTCTTCCCCAGGGTTGGTGACTGTGAAGGCCTCCTCTCTGACCAGCAGCAGCAGCTGCGGTTACAGGGCCTGGAGCAATCATCTTTGCACTGCTTCCATCTTTCTCAAAGTCTTCTATTGAGACAATTTGTTTCATTATTAATTTGGGGCATGGCATTCCCCACAGACTTAAGAAACTATTTGCCTGTTTAAAAAAAAAAATTAACAGCCAGGTTAATAAATTTGACTTGCAGGATTTCTACAACTCTGTGCCCTTTTCTGATCCTGGCAGTTGAGGCCAAAGTGACTCACAGTGAAGTAGTTACAACTTGGGAGGTAGTGTATAGATTTGATTTTCAGTCTTTGTATCCCAGTGAAAGGGGACCAGCTTTCCCAAAGTGAATCCCAACATGGCAGTCACCGTGGCACACCCGTGCATCTGGTTAAGATTACTAACTCCTGACCCACCATTATCTCCTCAGATAATTCTTACTCTTAAAGCTAGTTGCACCTTATTCTGTTTCTGTTCTGGAAATGTGATAGGCAGGCACTTCGGGAGCCTCTTCCTCACCCATTGCTCTAGTGGGAGAAAGACTCTCTGAAATGTGCACATATACATGTGACGGTGCTTGTCAAGGGACTTGAGCACACATGGCTCATAGCACATTTGTTTGTTATTTTAACTGAAGGTGTTGAATTTTGAATCTGTGTTTCTAGACACTGTTTCCAGCAAGTTGCAAAACAACAATGTTTATACTATTGCCAAGAGGAACGTGGAAGGGCAGGACATGCTGTACCAATCCCTGAAGCTCACTAATGGCATTTGGATTTTGGCCGAGCTACGTATCCAGCCAGGAAATCCCAATTACACGGTAAGGCCTTTCTCAGAATGGGTGAGATGGGTTCAAAGACGGAGGTAAGAGCCCTTTCATTTTTTTCTTAGCATCCTAGAAAGACCTGGAGGAGGTGTTTCAGACCCCAGATATCCAAAACAAGCAGTCAGTAAAGAAGTCTCCAGTTGCCTCCTTAAAAGGCCTTCTGTCTGCATGGTCTGCCCCATCCAATAGGCACGGTGCCTCTGGCAGCAGGAGTGCCTTGGACTCTGCCTGGTATATACAGAGTTGCTCACAGAACTTGGCAGCTTCATCAGTACTGGTTAATACTTAGCTAGCATACCTGTGTGGTACTGTGACAAGCTGCTAAGAGGATTGTTTTACGTAGCTCATGTCAAGCTCATTCCTGCTTGTGGACTTAAGGGTATCAGAGTCCTAGACATGAGCCTTTTTTAGCAATGTCCTATGTCCTAAATACTTGTGAAAGTCAAGGCAAAATGAGACACATCTTTCATGTCCTGTAAGGGGACCTTAGAAAACTTCCTTCAGTACCACACTGGACTAAAATTAAAATTCTGGCAATATTTTTAGAGTTGCCTTGCTAAACAACAAAGCTTTATACCCTGGGCTCTGGGCACCTAGGTGTTTCCTGTTGTAAAATGTGATCTCCCAATAGGATGCTGCTTGTCATCTGTCTTTTGTAAAGTAAAAGAAAAACCCTTGTGGTAGGGGAAATCTCGTATTCTTCTGTCATGTTTGAGGCTTTTGTAGGCTGTTCTGAATGAGGGGACAGGAAAGTGACAAGAAGAATAAGTTTCAGTAATTGAATAACTCTGAGGGAGCTTCATACTCAGTATATTAAGGGAGCTTCTTATTCATGTATCTGAGAAAAGTCTGTGCGCCCAGTCCTTCATTTTAAGACAAGCCTCTTTTCACTGGCATATGTCAAGGGACTAGCACCACTGAAAATCCTTGGTGTTTTGCCACTAGTTCCCTCCCTTGAAGCAAGCTGGACTCGCGTGCATGTGTGAGCCGCTGAGTCCTATCCAGCTAGATTTTTGCCCAAGCATTTGTGAAGGGAGAAACTTTGGGCTTCCCCCATAAAGTATACACTCCTCCCCCTGCTCCTCCACCCTTGTCTTTTTTTGCAAGAAACTACCCTGGTGTTTTCCTTGAGTTCCACAAGAAGCACAGCCTCTCTCTGCTCTTGGAGGGACAGGTTTTCACTGTAAAATCAAGATCTTATGAAATAATTCCACTTACTTCCCTAGAAATTTCCTCAATGTATGTATATTTGTGTTTGTTTACTTTGTTTTTTTATCATCCATTATTGTATACAGTCTTCCATCTCAGCTAGATTAAAGACGCATGATTACTCCCAGAGTGCAGATAAGGAAACCAAGGTTAAGAATGATCAGTGACTTGTTCAAGATCATGTAACTTGTTGGTAGGTTGGTTGGGTTTTGAATTCAGGTATCTCACACAACTTCTGCTGTATTCTTTCTCTTCATTATAAGAAAGGATAATGAGAATTTTGAGAAAGACCTAAGTTGCCCTAAACAGTTGGTTTAAAATTTTTTTTAACTTTGTATTTTGAAATAATTGAAGACAGAGTTTTGTTGTTTCATATTCACCAGTTTTTACATCGTTAACTTTTTTGGGGGGGTGGTTAAGGAATCTACAGTACTATGAATCTAATCACATGTATAGATTTGTAACTACCACCATAGTCAGGACACAGAACTGTTCCATCACCACAGAAAACCTCCCTCTTGCCATCTCTTTATAGTTAGACCCTCACTCCAGCCCTCAGCCCTGGCAACCACTGATATGTTTGTTCTCCATTACTATAATTTTGTCATTTTAACAATGTTATATAAATTAAATTCATACAGCATGTATCCTTTTGAGACTGTTTTTCTTTCACTTCGCACACCCTCGACGTCCGTCTGAGTCGTTGCATGTATTAATCCTTTGTTCCTTTTTATTATGAAGTAGTAGTACACTATACGGATATACCACATATTTATACATCCATTGAGGGACATTTCCTCTCCTGTATATTTTTAAAATTTGTATTTTGAGATACTTGTAGGTTCACATGCAGTTATAAGAAATGATCCAATGAGATCCTCTTCTCATGGTGCCCTTTTAGAGCCACACCTACGTCCTTCCCTCCCCTTCTCCTCTCCTCCTCGATAAATTTAAACAGTGAATTTATATACTTCCTTGCCCTCTTTCCTATTTTCCATCCATCTGGTGACTGGGTTCCCTCTGCCCACAAAACCATCTAAATTTTGCATCAAGCGTCTGACACAGGCCTGACCCATTCATTCCCCTGACTGATGTTCCAGACTTGAGAACCACTCAGGTTCATTCCCTTCTCTCCCTCACCCTGAACACCTATTGTACCATCAATGTGATCTCAGCTGGGTATTAAGGAGAAAAGAAAGCTGTTGAGCCAGTACTAACGCATGAGGATTGATGGTCCCTTTGTCTCCTGAGAAGTGGATAAATCACTTCCCTCCACCCCCTTACTGTATTTCATTAAGAAAGTATGTTTATCCCATAAGGAAGATGTCTCATCTCTCTAAGTAGCTATATCTCACTTAGAAAGATAACATGTCTGAGGTGAAGAAGAATGTGTTCCAGGCTCTAAACCAGAAGTGGCAGTGAGAGGGTATAGCTCAAGTGGTAAGGTGCATGCTTAGCATGCATGAGGTCGTGGGTTCAATCCCCAGTACTTCCTCTGAAAATAAATAAATAAACCTAATTACACCCCCTCCTCAAAAAAAAAAAAAAAAAAGAAGACAACATGGGTGTGTAAGTCCTCAGCTTACCTAGGCAGGAGAGGTGACTCCTTCCCTCAGCGAGTCTAGGTGGGTGGCATTCCTGAGTGGTTGGTGTTAAAGATGTGTCACATAAGCAGACTAGCAGTTGAAAAGTGAAAACCCTGGTAAGGCCTCTTTTCCCTTAGGAGCCATATAAAATGATAACGCAGAGTCCTAGCTATATTTTATGAGTCAGATTATGTAGCTTTTTGGTTCTTTATGTATGTTTCCCTTTTGCTTTCCTCAGGATTTAGCAAGATCTTTCCCCCCCCCCCAAGCTTGTCTTAGCTGTACCAGTCAGGAAGCAAGGGATAGGTTAAAGTCTATACTTGACCCCTTGTTGATGGCTGCCGGGGCGGAGGGGTGATGTAACAGTCCAGAGAGAGAGATTCTTTTCTTCTCCCCTCTCCCCCACCAAAGAACAGCTGAAACTCTCAGTGTCCAGGCCTGGTCAGTCTGTGACTGTCTGCCAGTTCTAAGCTTGGCAGATGAGATTGTGCTTTTATTGAGGAAGGCAACATTTCCTTGTCAGTCCTGAACAAAAAAATGAATCTCCATCTGGTAGAAGTTCAAGGATTGTTACAAAGGTGAGAAAAAATATAGGACAGTATTTTGGGAGAGAGAAACTACCCCCCTTTAGTCTGGGAGCTCACTCCCTTAGGCTGTTCTTACTCTTTTTAGCTTCCTCTCCTCCTCCTTTTCTGAACCCACATTCTCTCCCAGGAGGAATTTCTACAACATTGACAGTGGAGAGGCTGTGGAGGAGGAGGTACAGATTGCCTCTGTAGGGAGCTTGGAAGTCAAGGGAAATGCCTATAGCTGCAACTTTGACCAAAATAGGGAGCTGTTTCCTTTCCCTGTTTATTTTCTTAAATTAGTTGCATATTTGTTTTGTCTTATGTTCATCAGAATTGTCTTCCTGATTAATGTCATGCAGCAACTTTGAAAATGCCCTGGAGGCTGAATATTAAAGCTATAAATAAATAGAATCTCTTTTGATGTTTTTTTTCTTTTGTTTGGCTGGTGTTTGTTTTTTTTTTTGCATTTTTAAAAACCTCACTAAGTTTTGAGGATGTAAGTGTTCTCAAGAAATTCAGAGTTGACCAATATCATCTTGACATTTTTGCCAGGAATATTTTCTCACCTTTTATACTATGTTAAGTCATCCAGAGTCTCTAATAAGAGAATAAAGAGGTAAAATAATCCAATCTCATGGTAATATGTCATTAAAGACAACTTCTGTTAATCTACCTTAACAGACAAGAGCATGATGTCAGTAATACAAAAAGCAAATATTAAATTTTCTGGTTCTCAATGTGGTTTGCATGCTTCTGCGATTATATTATTGTTAATAGTGCTTTGCCTAATCTGGTACAATTCATGAGTCTAAATCTGGGTTTAAATTTTGTGCTTATTGACCCACAGAGTGAAAATCTCAGTGTTCAGCACTGAAATCTCTTCAGTATTTTCATTTTAATTTGGTAATTGTTAGACTAGAGGAAGAGGCGGTGGTGGTGAAGTAGGGTGGTATCGGAAGTATCTGATCTGCCTGAGCAAGAGGCAGGAAATGAAAGATTAAACTGTTGGCACAAGTTGCTGTATGGTTACACTCAGTGAATGTCTTTTTGTATTAGTTCTTAGTTTACCCCAACAGTGTGAGCTCTCCTCAGTATACTACAGGAAAGTCTAGTGCCTTGGACCTATAACTTAATGCTTTTATTTTCCTTAATTGTACATCCTCCTGAATTAGGACTGAGATAACCATCCTTGTCAGACAGAAACTGAGGCAAACAGCTGAAATGACCGCCAAGTTCAGGGTTTTAAGCCTTCCCTTTTTATCTGGTAATAATCCCTTTGACTCTTAGCAAAGCAGTAGAACATCCATTCCCCTACAGTCAGGCCTCAGTGTTTTTTGTATGGATTATTTCCTAACCTCATAGATCCACGTAGAATGCAGGTAGAAACACAGCACAGCTTGACATTGATTAAATTGAAAATCTAAAACTCACAGAAACTATTAACAAGATCTCTTCATTTGGCTACTCAGTGATAAAAGCTCCTTTCCCCTTGAATCAGAAAGTTTCTTTGTCCACAAATGATAAATGCCAGATAGGGTGTGGAGAAAAAGGAACCCTCTTACACTGTTGGTGGAAATGTAGTTTGGTGCAACCATTATGGAAAATAGTACAGGGATTCCTTAAAAAATTAAAAATAGATTTACCATATGATCCAGCAATCCCACTCCTGGGCATATATCTGGAGGGAACTCTAATTCGAAAGGATACATGCACACCCCAGTGTTCATAGCAACACTATTTACAATATCCAAGACATGGAAACAACCTAAATGTCCATCAACAGATAACTGGAGATAGATAGATAGATAGATAGATAGATAGATAGATAGATAGATAGATAGATAGATAGATAGATAGATAGATAGATAGACTACTCAGCCATAAAAAAGAATAAACTAACGCTATTTGCAGTAACATGAATGGACCTGGAGATCATCATTCTAAGTGAAAGTAAGCCAGAAAGAGAAAGAAAAATACCATATGATATCACTTACATGTGAAATCTAAAAATAGACAAAAATGAACTATTTACAAAACAGAAACAGACTCACAAACATAGAACACAAACTTATGGTTACCGGGGGAAAGGGTGGGAAGGGATAAATTGGGAGTTCGAGATTTGCAGATACCAGCTACTATATATGAAATAGATAAACAAGTTTCTTCTGTATAGCACAAGGAACTATATTCAATATCTTGTAGTAACCTATAATAAAAAGAATATGAAAAGGAATATATTTAGGTATATGTATGACTGAAACTTTACACTGTGCACCAGAAATTGATACAACATTATAAACTTGACTATACTTCAATTTAAAAAGGGGGGGGGTAAATAATAAAAAAAAAAAGTTTTCTTTGAACTGAGAATTGGATGCCTCTCAAGTTAATACTGATCTTCCTTGTCTTTTCCCTCTTAACAGCTGTCGCTGAAGTGCAGAGCTCCTGAAGTCTCCCAGTACATCTATCAGGTCTACGACAGCATTTTGAAAAACTAATAAACTGGTCTGTTTGCCCTGTGATCGGTGCAAACCAAGAACTCTTAACTGGAGGAAACTGTATTGCCGTGTAGACTCTGAACCCAGACACACTGAGGCCACCCGCCAAGGTAGTGACTAGTCTAACCTGTGCTAACATTAGGGCCAACCTGTTGGATAGTTTTAGCTTCCTGTGAACATTTGTAACCACTGCTTCAGTCACTTCCCACCTCTTGCCACCTGCTGCTCTCTGTCCTTACTTGTGGGCTTCTCCATCCTGTGCCAGTGGCTGGCATTTTCGAGTGTAGTTTGATATTTTGTAATTGAGAGCTTGTTTCAAAAGCAGAAAAAGACCAAAAAACAAAATTAAAGCAAGGAAAAGTGTCACTGAAACATAAACTGCACTTTATTGTTTTATATTTTTGTACATATGAGAAACTGAGGGAACAGTGTGTAACTGGTAGAAGGTGTTAAAACAACTGCCCGGCGTTAACCGCACAGCCCTGGGGAAGAGACGCGGTGACCCGCCCACCCTGCGGGGGTTCTTTTATCTGTGGCAGCCTTGTCCTCGGCCGGCCGCTGAGTTTTCACTTTTTTTCCTCTCCAAATTGCCTTTCCTTCTTATTTTCCTGTGTCATCATCTCATTTGATGCTCCGCAGTGGGGAATGGTGGCCTTCCTTCCTTGATGTCTCAGCGTTGAGGAAATAGGACCTGTCAGCACCAGCAAGGCTGAGAAAAAATGAGAACTTAGTACATTCCTTTCCTCATCTAATCCATTAATAACACTGATAAAGGAATTCGAGTAGAGATGCGAAACAGGAACCAAAATGCCCTTCCCCTGCCTCCTGCTCTGGATTTAATTCTCAGGTCCAGTTCAGATCTAAAATCTTAGTTTTAGAATTGAAACAGACTTTAAGGCCTGTTAACTGTTCAGAGGCGCGGGGCTGGATCTCCTGAATCCCCGTCAGTGCTGTCTTCACTGCAGGAGTACCATTAGTTTTCTTTTCCCGGACGCCTTTCTCTGCCCTTCTCCGTGCCTGCTTCTTTACGGCTCTTCTCATACTCCGTGCTGACTTCGGCGCCCCGTGCATTGGCATCAGGTGGCAGCAGGGTGTCTTTTCCATTACTTGAAGGTGGTCCCCGTGCCAGGATGAAGGAGTAGCTAATGCACTCCCGGGGTGGCAGGGTGGGTGCGGGGTGGAGTGAGCTGCGGGACGCCACACGTTCACTTCATCCCTTCAGCTCTCTGATCTCTCTTCACTTGCGCTCCTGAGGCTCCCAGGCAGTTGAGATCACCTCAGGGGGCCACCGGTTCCTGTCATTTCTCGAAAGATTGGGAGATGTGAGGGCCCCCATCCCCTGGACACACTGGCTGTGTTCTGTTGAAGAATGCTACATGCCCAGAACACCAGTCTTGTGAGCTCTTAAGCAGTGTTCACGCTGTTGGATCTTTGGGCATTTAATGTTGCCTGGCACCCAGGACTCAGGGTCCATGACCAAGACCACTGGTTAGATGCCCTGCTCAAATCGGAGATGCTTTGGGGTCCAAAGGCCTCATGTAGGACTCAGATCTAAGAGTGAGTCCAAGAGTAGGAATCATAGAAAACAGGAGCAGAAACTAACCCCTAACCCCATCACGACTGAAGTGACCCTGATACATACCAGCTGCAAAGCTTGGAGGAGCAGGTCCCCCAAAGCAGTTTCTTAAATCTTGAGAATCTCAAAGAGAAGAATTACTGGGGTGAGGGACGGGGACCAAGGCCTGTGCTCACCAGCCCTTAGGCATGTGGAGAACAGGAGGGAGACAGGACTGCGGTGGGAGGTGGGTAGGCTGGTGATGGGCGGGGTGGAAAAGCAGCGGGGTAAGTTCCCTTGTTGGGAAATCACTCGTGGAGTCAGTTGGACGCAGGCAGCGAAGAAGATTCACACTACAAATGCAATGTTGTCATCTCAAAGCAGACTGTAGTTCCACAAGGAAGAGGGTGTGTCAGGGTAAGCAGACAAGACAGTTTTGTATCAGGATATGTCCCTCCGCCCCTGAAACCAGGCTTCTCTCAGCCTCTCCAGCAGTGATGGGAAACAGCTGCTGTTCTCAGCTGACCTGACTGAGCCAATCCACGAACCCCTGTGCTCTTAGGGAGGGATTCTGCTCCACCAAAAAGGACTTCCCTCCTGAAGAGACAGCCTCCGCAGCTTCCCTGTGGGCGCATTTCAAGCTTGGCCAAATTGGGGAACGGAGCGGAGATTGCCCCCGCGTTCCCCTCTCCTCTGCTTCAATGTGTCTTTGTAACGTCAGCTGGTGTCGTACAAAGGGCCCGGGAAGCACACACACACACCCAGAACTCTTGCTGGTCAGAGATTCCGAGTGTTTGTCGTCGCCCGAGCCTGTTCCCTGTGTCTGTTGTGAACCTTGGGACTCAGAAATGGGGAGTGGGGGAGCGGGTGTTGCCTAAGAATGCTCATCATTCTTTTGTTGGGATCTGTTTTGGGGAGGGGGGGTTGGGGGACACTTGACCTTGTCTTCGTCAATAAACTTATTTACACAAAATGAAGTCTGTGCTATGTACTTCGTTCCCAGAACTGACACTCTAGGACAAAACACAGCTGGCCTAGGGAGGGATGGGGCACGAATAACGAAGCTATTAGAACTTTCCTTTGGGCTGCCCTTGCCCTCCCAGGGGCTTAGCCAGATGATTTAAGATTGGCCTGAGGAAGAATCTTATGTCTCAGAGGTTCGTCTTAAGCAAGCCACCATCACCACCACAGGCATCTCGCTGGCTGCCCGCAGGGAGTGCTCACCGGAGCCAATCCGTCTTCCCTGGCAAGTCCCCTGCTAGGACCCCAAGCAGATGGTCCCAGGGGCAGGCAGGCAGCCAGCAAGGCACAGGGGCAGAGGAAGCAGAGCAGAGCTCACCTGTGTCCTATTATCCAGGACGTTTCACTAATCTCAATTTATAAAAGCCTCTCAGACCTGCACTCGGGACCTGCCCATTCCCAAGTGAACAGAATTAATGCTGCTGTAAAGCAAGCGTCCCGCGGAGTCCGAGTAACTGACCACCTGCTCTGTGTTGCTTGGGCACCAGCGCCAGGTGGTGTCAAGACAGAAGCCCCACCCCTGGTTCCGATGTAAGGGCAGCCACTAAGGTCTCCCACAGCCTGGAGCGGGGAAAAGAGGCTGAGGGATTCGTTGCCAAGGTGCCCTTGGACAAGTCCCTGGACCTCTCTCGCCAGTGGAGTGTAGATGAGGTACTTTGCACAGCGCTCAGCACAGTAACTGCTTTTATCACGTGGATGTCCAGACACCATGAATAAACTGCCTTTGGCAGCTAGAAACGTTTTCTGGTTGTCTCAGTGAGCTGGGCTGCAGTTAGCCCAAGCTGTAATTAGAATAACACTTGAGGGGGAAAAAAAGTAATACTTGGGGAGGGTGGTCTTTGTGGAGGTTCAGAGACATGAAGATACGAAGAGGGATGGAGGGAGGGTATAGCTCAGTGCTAGAGTGTGTGCCTAGTGGGCACAAGGACCTGGGTTCAAGCACCCCAGCACCTCCATTAAACATAAGTAAATAAAAACCTAATTAACTCCCCCTCCAAAAAATAAAATTTAAAAATGTGACATTTTAAAATTTGTATATAATAATAATAATAATTAATAATAATATGTTTAAAAAACAAAAAAGAAGGTTGGGCCTTACTGTGATCTAATTGGTTTTGCCAGCGAAGAATGTTGTTTTGGGCCAAGAAAATCCTGGAAGCTCTGAACTCTTGGGTGCATGCTGATTTCACCTGCGAGCTTTTACAAAAGGCTGATGATTCTTGGCCAGTTGGGTGGGGCCTGGGACAATCTGCAGTTCAAAAAACTCTCCAGGTGTTTCTAAAAGTACAGGGTTGAAAATTTCTGCCAGAGACTCACACCTGTTTGCCTGCTGCCTCGTCAGTAATGCTCGTGTTCTTGTGGCAGTTCAAAAGCGGTAAAGCCCCTTCCTGCACATGGTAACTGCCCACCCTGAATTGAGAGCATTATCCTCATTTTTCAGGTGAGATGTGGAGAGCCACGTCTTCTGACTCTCTGTCCTTAAGACAGATTCGATTCGTGATAGACCCTCCCCTCTTTGTGCCACCAGGCCAACGGCCAACTTTGCTAAGCCCCCAAGATCCCGGGGCATTCAGTCTCCACAGGCAGGGTACAGTGGCCCCAGGCCCCCACATGAGATTGTTCAAGCCTCTGCCCCTGAAATGGTAACTAGGAAATACTGAGATCTCAAGTACATTGTTTCAGAGGCCCGTCAACAGCTGAGGACTCCCGGGTTGGAGCCTTCCTACTCCCACTTCATGCATTGATGCTTTTTCTGATTTTGCCTGGACCCAGATCTCTTTTCCCTGCCACCCCCAGCTCCAGGAGGCAAGAGCCTGTTTATTTTAATACCTGGTGTGGCACTTGGGAAAGATCACACCTCCCCCGATGTTACCCATTTCTATCTCCTGAACACTAATCCTAGAATCCCAACCAGCCCCCAGACATGTTATTAGCAACAAGGATGTTTCTTGAAAAGTTTCCGAGTTGGCTCCAAACTTGCCATCTCAGTTTCTCATTTAGCTTTTGCCCTGCCGTTCTTGATGCTGCCAACAAAGGGAAGGCTAATTTAGGGATTGGCTAGACCCAGATGGATTTAATTTCCAGAAGTATCCTTTTGAGACAAGACTGAGAGAACCCCACTAGCCCCTTCTCCCACTAGGTAGGTGTTAGAGGATGGTGTTCAAGTCTAACCTCTGGCTTTCTCTCCCTTGTTTGATTCGCTGTCCACTTAGAGTCAAAGGCCCCAGGATCTGGCCAGACAGCCTCTGAAAACCAGTGGGCTCCTCGGCTATGATGGAGCAGGGGTGTAGTGGGCAGGTTCCAGTCCTCGTCACCTCTGTCCCACTCTTTGGCTTCAGATGCTGTGAGTGGGCCCAAGCATCTATCCCCCAGACCCTGAACTTGCACCTAAGCTGTGGGGTGTCCTCCACTAAACCACAGCCACAGACTGAGGACAGAGCCTCTCAAGTTTTTTCACCAAGGTAATCCTAATCACGGAACAGAGTGAACAGGTTCCTCCAAGCTGTGTTCTCAGCCCAAAGTGACTCTCGGCAAATCAAAATGACTTCAACCAAAAAAAAAAAAAAATTTAACCAAATTTTGCATTTTATGTTAATACTATGGGTTTGTTTTTTATAAATTAACCAGTGGCTTTGTGTTCCCCTAGTATAGGTAAGTTGAGAAGCTTCAGCACCCTAAGGTACGTGTGCACATTGCATGACTTCTTGTTTCTAATGCCCCTTGGGCTGAAATAGAACCAGATTGGAGAGTCGTGGCCTGAGGGAGTAGACATAAAGCCTGGGATCCTTGGGCAGGGTAAGGATGATTTCAGATTTTCAGATACAGTGGGGGGACTGGTGGTGCCGTGGACAATTTAGGAGTTAGGATGCTCTTGATGACTTCATTGTGATCCCACAGGGCCAGTAAGTCTGACATCTCCTGGAGCTCCAGGCCCTCTGTTTGCTTTTACCAACCGCCCTGGCCCCCTTCCCCAAAGCCCTACCACAACACCTGGGAGCCATCCAGAATGAATGGGAATGCTTTCCCAAGGTGGTGTTCAGCCTCCCGTCTGTGTCTCTAAAGCCAAAAAAAAGAAACTAGAGGCCACACAGTGAGACTACACTCCAGGCACCACATTATGGACTTTAATCACCACGGGTTTATTTATGCCGTGGGGACAACTGATCACATCTCCATTTTACAAATAAGGCATAGAGTTTGGGGAGTTCAAGTGACTCGCCTTTAGTCACATGGTAAGTGGTAGGGCCAGGACTTGAATCCAGATCTCCCAGATTCTGAAGCCCAGGCTCATAACCAACATGTCTGCACAGAAGAGGGATGGGGAGCGGCTGGGCGGTGCTCAAAACACAGAGCTCTAAGGGAGAAGGAAAACTGGGTCCTGTGAGGAAGCTGGAGCCCACAAGTACTGGAAAGAATAGAAAGTCACACTGGGCAATGCTGGGTCCCAGGGGTAAAAACACTTGGGAGGTCTCTCCCAGCTTCCCCCTCCCCTTCCCTGACCTGCAGGCACCGAGAAAGTGCAACTCTGGTTTGCAGCTGGGTTGCTGCCCTGCTTCAAAACCCTTCCATGCTTTTACCCAGCCAGACAGGGCTCCATCCAAACTCCTTACCCAGCAATCAAGGCCTGTGTGACGTCACCCTAACCAGCTTCTCAGCCTCCTTTCCCTGTGCTTCTAGCCCCCTGGGCACCCATTTGGTTCCTGGATTCCCTTTTCAAATCTCTGCAATTGCTCCCAACTTCTCTCATCTGTGGCCCTCCTCTTCCACACCCTCCCCTCCCCCACCACTACCCCAAATCCACTTTTTTCAAGGCTCCTTCTTTGAACGTTACCTCCTCTGAAGCCTCCACTGACGCCCCTCCCTAGTTGGTCTGCTGCCTCTGCCCTGACCCAGAACCTTGACTTTGCACACAGCGCGTATTAGCACTACGTGTCTGGTGTCTGCTTCTGGTCTCCCGGTTCACCTGTCAGCACCAGGCTAAGTGTCATCAGTGGCTGCTAGGATAGGGTCTTTCAATTTTTGTCTTCCGCATTTTGCAATTCATTAAGACCAGTTACCCAGCCTCTCTCAGCCTCAGCTATTTCATCTGTAAATCGAGGGAAACAGAATCTACCTCATAGTATTGTGAGGATTAAATTTGAAGATGCAGGCAAAGCTGGGAGAACGCTGTCTGGCACATGGTACACATTCATTAAATGTCAGCTACTCGTGATGAACGACACCATGATTGTTTTAGAATAAATACAAGGAGAATTTTGCCCTCGACCCTGGCAAATGCTGGCATCTCCCAGTCTGGAGAGGAGAGGGGAGCATTCGTTTTAGGGGAGGGATGGAGGTCATTCATTAGCCGGGGATTAGCTTTGCTTGGATAGCCTGGTCTGCCTTTCTTTCACTGCTGCAGAACGGTGAGTGACCACCCTTTGTCCGCCCTCCAGCGGGGTGGATGCCGTCTCTAGCACACGGTGCAAGGCACACAGCAGATGCCAGTCCAGTGACTGAACTGGCAGGGGTCAGAAGAGAGACCTAGAGAGGGAACCTGGGGTGTGGGGGTGGGATATGAAGCAAAGCCAAAGACTTTAGGGCCACCCCGGTCCCTTTCTCCCAACTCTCCCGGTTAGAGTTAAAAATACCGCAGGGACAGTC